AGTGAGACTCCAACTCAAAAAAAAAACAAAAAAACAACTGGAAACAGGCTGGGCATGGCGGCTCATGCCTATAATCCCAGCACTTTGGGAAGCCGAGGAGGGTAGATTTTTCTTTTTTTTTTTTTTTGAGTTTGAGTTTGAGCCTCACTCCGTCGCCCAGGCTAGAGTGCAGTGGCACGCTCACGGCCACCCCAGAGTCGACCCACTAGGCTCCGGCGATCCTTCCACCTCAGCCTTCCAAGTAGCCGGAACTACAGGTGCGTGCTACCGCACCCAGCTAATTTTTTAGCTATTGTAGAGATGAGGTCTCGCCAAGTTGCCCAGGCTAGTCTTGAACCCGCCGGTTCAGGCAATCCACTCTCCTCGGCCTCCCAAAGTGCTGGGATTACAGGCTGAGCCACCAAGCCTGGTCAGGGAGATAGATTGAGGCCAGGAGTTCAAGACTAGCCTGAGCAGCATAGCAAGACTCCCATCTCTACTAAAACTTTTTTAAAACATTTTTTTAAACCTGGGAACAAGCTAACTGTCCTGCAATAAAGGACAGGTTAAATACATCATGACACGTACATAATTTGGAGTATCATAGCATCCCCAGTGATTGTGTAGTCAAAGAGACCTAACAGGTCATGGAGGAATGCTCGTGATCTTATTAAAATATCATGGGCAACCCCCTCGAGTCTGCTCCTGCTCTGGGAGCTCTTCTGTCCTCTCAATAAATCCTACTTTCTAAAAAAAAAAAAAAAGTCAGTGTACAAACTACATATGATCCCAATTTGTAAAAATAAAAACATACAAACACACACACAAACAGGGCACACACCTCAGGAATAAAGACTAGAGGAAAGTGCACTAGAACATTTGTGGTCATTCTGTGTGAACACTGGAACTCTGGGTGACTTGTTTTCTTCTTTATATATCCACTTTTTCTTTTTTTTTTTCTGATATATCATCTAACTTACAAGCAAAACAAATGGCCACCAATAAAATTAAACAATGGAAAGAAGGAAGAGTGGGGGACAAGCAACAGAAGGACAAAGGGAGGAAGAGAGGGACAAACAGGCCCGAGTGGGCTGTAAGAGGAGAGGAGATAAGGGAGGGAGGGTCTGGGGGGGTGCGCCTGGGGAGGGAGGCTGTCAGTTCACCACAAATTCAGAGTCCCAGGACAGTCAGTGGCTTGGGACCACGAGTCCAGGCGCCGGTCTACTCCTCGCCTCTCACATGTCACAGATAGGCTCCTACTTTGGAAGTGAGATCACCTCAGTGGACACAGACAGCGACGGCATGACCGACGTCCTGCTGGTGGGTGCGCCCATGTACTTCAGTGAGGGCCGGGAGCGGGGCCGAGTGTACGTCTACGACCTGAGACAGGTAGGCTGGTGCTGCTGCCAGCGTTGGGTGGCCCGGACTCTGACCAGTTCAGCTACCCTCGAGGGAGGTGGGTGGCCAGAGGGGCCATGGCCTGCCTGCTGGAGCCAGCCAGGGGCAAGGGACCCTCCTGTCTCTGGGCTCCTGTGGCCTGAGCGGGGTCTGGGGAAGTTGGGACTGGGAGTAGACACTTGCTTGGCAGCAGGCGGAGGTCCAAGCTGGTCCTGCCCGGACTTGCAGAACCGGTTTGTGTATAACGGCACGCTGAGGGATTCCCAGAATCACCAGAACGCCCGGTTTGGGGCCTCCATCGCCTCTGTTCGAGACCTCAATCAGGACTCCTACAACGACGTGGTGGTGGGGGCCCCTCTGGAGGACAGCCACAGGGGCGCCATCTACATCTTCCATGGCTTCAGAGGCGGCCTCCTAAAGAAGCCTAAGCAGGTCAGGCTCCCAGGACATGGACAGAGTGCGGATGGGACTAAGGTCCAGGCCAGGCTCCTGGGACAGGGACGGAGCTTGGGTGGGAGTATAGGGTCAGATCAAGCTCCCAGGACACGGACGGAGCATAGATGGGACCGAGGGGTCCAGGTCAGCCTCCTGGGACACAGACGGAGCATAAGTGGGTGACGTGTGCCCTGTAGTTCCAGGTTTTCTTTTGTGCTCTCACACAGGACAGGTTCCACCCTGCCCTAGCTGTGCTTGCCTCAGGTCGAGATGGGCACTTTTTACTCACAGGACCTCCTGTCCCTCTGGCACCCTCGCCCTGCCAACCTTTATCCTCCCTCACAACCCGGGGCACAGCCCAGGTAGAGCCCTGCCCCCCCACCTGGGAGCACCTGTCTGCAAGGGCAGGGCCCCCGCCGGGGCTGCTCCTCCCGGAATCACCTGGCGCTGGAAACCTAGCTCACCTCCAGTCGACCAGCCCTGTCCCGGTACCCCAGGGTTATCACATCTGCCCACACTTTTCATCAGTGAGCAAGTCTAAGAAACAGCCCGACATTGGACAGGCAGTGGGTGACCTACCAGGTAATATGCACGTGATGGGGACGCTTTTAAGACACGAGATTTTAAGACATAAGAAGGACTTCGGTGGCAGGAATTTCAGGTCCGTGACAGGCCAGCGGAGGAAACAGCTTTGAGCTGAGGATGCTTTTGGATGGTTCCAAAGAGGTTCTCCCTAGGGCTGCCCCACCCCGCGCCGCCCCGCCCCTAGGGTACACGCCCCGTCCCCCCGCTCTCACAGAGCGCAAACCTCTCCTAGTGCCCCCTCCCGCCCTCACAGTGTGTATGCCCC